GCTAGTACTTGGGACAAAAATCAAACCCTAAGTGACGATTCTGGTGTTCATGGTTCTTGTTCCATGGTTGTTTTTGCTTAGAAGATTCTCTATCAATTTACATATTGTGTTTGAGAAAAAGCAGTCTTAGCACCAAGCAAAGTAAAAGGTAATGACACAAATTCAGTAACTTATGACACTCCACATGAATAAGGTGCAAAAGATAGGTAGAATTAAACCCTGAGTGACAATTCTGGTGTTCATGGTTCTTGTTCCATGGTTGTTTTTTGTTTAGAAGATTCTTTGGCAATTTACACATTATGTTTGAGCAAAAGCAGTCTTAGCACCAAGCAACTAGTAAAGGTAATGACACAAATTCAGTAATTTATGACACTCCGCAGGAATAAGGTGCAAAAAAGACAACCTTGCGCATTACCTATCATGGATAGTGTTTACACAAAATAGGCAAATTACAAGTTATTTTCTAGCAAGTCAATTACTACTGTGCAGCAAGTCAAGGTGATTGAAACAGCAACCATGATTTTTTCCCTGTTTCGTGCTGGAAGTAAGCAGCTAGCATTATAAGTTCAAGCAGAAAACATTCTAATGTCAAGCAACTAATAACCTCAGGGTTTTTCTGAGATGAAATTTACCTGGGGGGCATACTTTAGCATACTCCAGAGTTACTTCTCCAAATCCGGTATTCAGAAAATGTTTGCTATCAGCTCTTAATTGCTACATGCTCTGTTTTTATGGTGATTTGTACAAAAAACCTTTTGTTGATTTAAACCTCCTGGTGATCCTATGTAATGTAAACATGACAAGTTACATGCTCTATTTAGGCAACTATAACGCTACAGGCAAGCAAGTCGTGTAACCTTGGTGTTGCTGAATTCAGAAGCTATGCAACTTGGTGAGTCTCTGGGGGGAACAGAAAAGTGCTAACAAAGCACACATTCTGAGGGTGGAAAAAGCAAGTTATAGGTTTTGTTTAAGCAAATGCAATGTTGTTATAAGTTTTGTTTAAGCAAATGCAATGTTGATTTAAAGCAACTACATGAGAAGCAAACAACAAAGGACAAAATTATGCAGGAACATTGATGCCTCACTTAGAGTGGAAAGCAACACATGTAACCTAGAAAAAAAGAACAAGTATGTAGGAAGAAAATCAAAAACACTAACTTGTGTAGTTGTTCCTAACATAGAAGATGTTTCTTTAAAGGTATGATTTTTCACCTTCTTGACCAATTTTCTGTTTCTCAACCATAAACTGATCCCCTATTGTCCATGTGGTAGAAGAAGGACGAGATTGTGTTCTCCAAGTCATCTTGTTTGTGCTATACCTGCTTGTACGAACATAAAAATGGTCTATAAGCATCTATTTTTGGTAGAAAATTAAAGAAAAATTGAGTGTTGAAAACTTCTGAATTGCTAGCTGCTATGTTTTTATGGAGATTTGTTTGGGCAACTTACATGCTCTATTTGGGCAAATGCAACACTATAGACAAGCAAGTTGTGTAACCTTCGTATCTTAGAAGCAATTAAAAAAGAAAAAACGGTGTTGTTGATTTCATAAACAGGACATGATTTTTTTACTGCATATACGGACATAAATGATGCGGCACTGGGGGGGGATATAAAAAATGAAAACAACACATCTAGAGCAACTCAAGAAAGCAAGTTATAAGTTATAAGTTACTTTAGAGCAACACATATTTTGGGAAAATGGAAAAGAAAGCAAGTTAAGCATGTTTTTGAAATAGAGTTGTGCATCAACTGGTATGGTTTTCTGAAGCAAAAACTCCAGATGTTTTTTAGCAAGTTCAGTGTTATGATTAGGCAAACTTACATGTTAAGATTAAGCAAGAAAAAGTGAATGTAAAAAGGGGCTGGTTGAAGAAAAATAACGGTAGGCAAGTTTCAGGCCTCTGTTTCATATGAACACATTGTAAGCAACTACTGTGATGGATTTTAACAATCTACTAGTGCTTGGAAGAAAAATCAAACCCACAGTGATAGTTCTGGTGTCTTTAAGGTTCTTGTTCCATGTTATTTTTGCTTGGAAATGGCCTTGGCAATTTTCACATTCCGTTTGAGCAAAAACAGTGTTAGCACCAAGCAACTAGTAGAGGTATTGACACAACTTTAGTAATTTATGACACTCCCTAGGAATAAGGTGAAAAAACAGAACCTTTTTGCACCTTACATAGCATGAACAGTGTGCTCACTATAACATATAGGCAAAGTGCGGGTTATTTTCTAGCAAGTCCATTGCTACCGTGGAGCAAATCATGGTGAATGAAATAGAAAAACGAATTATTTCCCTGTTTTCTGCTGGAAGTACATGTTATTTTGTTGCATCCTGTTGCATATCAACACGTTGTAAGCAAAAATACTGTGACTATTTAACCATCTGCTAGTGATGGCAACAAAAGTGAAACCCTAGATATGATAGTTCTGGCAATTTAGACAATATGTTTGAACAAAACATGAACCTTTTTGCACCTTACAAAAGATGAACATTATGCTCAATATGTAGAATAACAAAAATGCGATTCTAGCAAATCAAATTGGTATTGTGAAGCAAAAATTATGAATGGTGGGAGCAACTTGTATTGTAAGAATATGCAGAATAAGCAAAGATTCGTGTGCTTGATGATGTTGTTGAACAAACAGAGGATGTTGACGAAGACGAGGATAACAAACAGAGCAGGCAAGAAAAGATTCCTGAGCTTGATGATTCAGTTCTAACTGTACATCCTGCCAAGTACTGTAACAAACCCACACAACAAACAGAGCAGGCAAGAAAAGGCATAACAAAACTAGGCAAAAAAACAGCACCATATCAGGCAACTAAGTTCCGATGTGTTGGACAAAAAAAATAGGATTGTCCATTAACTGAATTTCACTCTGTTGGAACATTAAAAATGACTTAAATAGCAGAGCATAATGTACAAAAAGAGCAAATAATCTGAACAAAATCAGGCAACCACATGATGCAAAAATCTAAAACACATCAAGGAACCTAAACATATCGCTGAATGACTTCTCATGAAGTACTTGAACTTAAACTGACCCTATTACCCTCCCTCTACTAGATTACCTCCTACCTCAATCTAAAATCAAACCTATACACTGACAATATGCGTAGCCAACACATGAGCCCGTGTCAGGCAAGTCAAACACAAATCTGGAGCAAAAACCAAAATCGTGAAGCCCGTCCTTCTCATGAAGTAATTGAAATTAAACTGACCCTATTACCCTCCCTCTACTGGATTACTTCCTACCTCACACAAACACACATCACGTGTACGTTTTGCATTGCTCAAAAACATGGAAAAACATTACTGTCCTACACTCAATCAAAACACTGACAATATGCGTAGGCAACACATGAGCCAATATCGGGCAAGTCAATCACAAAACTGGAGCAACCTCAACAACTACAGCACCAAAACCTCGCCAAATCTACAGCCGTCGTGAGTATCCTAACCCCAACGCACACCTCGAACCTACAACGCCAAGGCTTGCCTTCAAACCCTAGTTCAGGTTCCCTCATGATGTGTGTTAAGTTAATCTAACATAACAGGTGTGTGAAGTACAGATATCATTCTGAAAAAAAGGACCTAAAAATAGTAGTGAATATATTTCAGTTGTGACTGTATATTGTGCCTAGACTTGTAACAAACTCACACACCATATCGGGCAAAAACCTCTAACAAAATGAGGCAAAAGTCGGAACCAAATCAGGCAAACTAAGTATCGAAGTGTTGAACAAAACAAAAATGGATTGTCCATTAACTGAATTTCCCTCTGTTGCTATACTCAGTAACAGAACAAATGTTCAAAAAGCAAAAATCTGAACATATCAGGCAACTAACTAAACATATTAGGCAAAATGAAAAATCGGTTGTCCATTAAACTGAAACTAGGACTGAAACTATTTCCCTCTAATGAATTACTTCCCTCTGGATTTGCATAGGTCAAACAGTACTATTCCAACTAGAACAAAATCACGCACTCACGTTTGGTAGGCAACACCTGAACCCATACCAGGCAAGTCATTCACAAAACTAGAGCAAAAAAACATGACTCTGAAACTCAAATCTACAACACCCACCTCGCCGGATCTATTGCTGTCCCACCCTCCCTCACACCATGGTAGCCAAAAAAGCCTTCAACCCTACCTTCTACCAGTAACCAAACCCTTGCGCACTGAATGCCCCATGTCGTCAAGCGCGCAACTCCCTAATCCATCCCAGAAATAACGCGTGCTTCAACAATCCACCATGTGCTTGCTGATTTAACCACGAAAAGCAGAAAATCGAGACATGATGTGCATACCAAGGATTGCTCGCCCTCTGCGCGACTCCGCCAATGCGCTAACATCACGACGGTTGTTCCTGCTGTGTCGCGCCTCGGCTAGTGCTTCCCTTCTGCCGCAACCTGCTCCTCTTGCCGCATGACCCTGGCTATCCTCCACTTCTCCTCCTCTGGAAACGCCGCACGCCCTTGGTCGTCGCACGCCCCCTGTCACCGTACACCCCTCTTGCCGCCGCACGCAGAGAATCGCTCCACCTCCGGCGGAAATCGGCCGCGGAGTCGCCGAACACGACGACGCCTCGCCTGATTTGGGGGATTGGGGATGGGAAACGCTAACTGCCGAGGAGCGGCCGACTCTGCATGCAGTTTCGAAATGCGAGCCGTAGTGGGAGGGGTGGAGGTGACGAGGAGAAGTGGTGGGCCCCAGAACCGCCGCTCGCACCCAACGAGCTTGAGGCCGACCAGGCGAAGCCTGAACGCGACTCGCAATCCGACCGCGCGGCACCTGACGCTCGTGATCGAGATCGGACGGCGCAGACAGGTGTGCGCTCGCGGCTGCAAACTAGCACGCGACCACTTTTTAGGTTTTAGGTTGGAACAGATAATTTAGATCCGAGGGAGTATTTTACAAAATGAATGCCACGCAACATAAGCCGCACACTCCACCCCATTGGGCAGCAGATTACTAGGCCGAGAAGATGGAAGCACTCCGGCCGTTATCCATAACGGCCGTGGCGGCGCTTCTCAGCGCTGCCCCCGTGCGGATTCCTACCTTCGTTGGTACTGGTAGAGAAGTGGGCGGTAGGCGAGGGAAGAGTGTGAGAGCTGGCGCAGGCGGCGGGGGCTGGCTGTCGGGCCTGCTGGGCCGGAAGGGCGGCGGCGGTGCGCCCACGGCGATGACTTTAACACCAGGGACCGTGAAGGCCGGCGATCCCGTGCTTCACGAGCCGGCACAGGAGGTGTCCCCCCGGGACGTGCCTTCCGAGAAGATCCAGGGCGTCATCGATCAGATGATCGCTGTCATGCGCAAAGCCCCTGGCGTTGGCCTCGCCGCCCCACAGATCGGCGAGCCCTTGAAGGTCCGTGGATTGCATTGTGCTCCTGTTATATGCGCTGGCTTATGTTCAATCTTCAAAAGACAGTCGCTACATTGCTCAACCTGTTAAATTTGCCAATGACAGATTATTGTTCTCGAGGACACCCAAGAATACATCAGCTATGCTTCCAAGGAGGACATCGATGCGCAGGATCGCCGTTCGTTTGATCTTCTTGTGGGTATATTTTTCCGTATGGAACTTTGTTCACCACCCATTACTGTTGTTAGGCTTGAGCACCTTCTCATGGCTCATGCCCTTTTATGTTTCTTGTCCCCCCTAAGCCAGGTTGTTATCAATCCCAAGCTTAGGAAGACGAGTAAAAGAACTGCACGTTTCTATGAAGGATGTCTTAGGTACTTACTCATATATTGCTCTCTGAAAGCTTATTACTAGTAGTAGCTTATTGGTGGAAAAGAAAGCTGAATTTCGGTGTACTTACGCTGTATGTCTTCATCCTTTTATGTGGATGCCAGTGTCGATGGATATAGAGCGGTTGTTGAGCGTCATTTGGATGTTGAGGTTTCGGGTTTGGACCGAAATGGACATCCCATGAAGGTGGAGGCATCAGGATGGCAGGCACGCATTCTGCAGCATGAGTGTGATCACCTCGAAGGCACATTATATGTTGACAAGATGGTTCCGAGGACATTCAGGACAGTTGATAACTTGAATCTGCCACTTGCCACTGGATGTCCTCCTCTAGGTGCATGATAGCATTGATGACATTCTAGTTTTTTCTCTTCAAGTATAGGTAATCGTCTGTAGTATTTGCAACTTTTTTGCTCCAGTGCAATATCATAATATGTCTTTACCCATTTATTGTCATGGATGTACATCATGTGGTGATACACATGCAAATAATTGCCGCTTTGTTAATCTAGTTGTCAAATGTCAACCAATGGTGACACTCTTTGAATGTAAGATGATCGGTACATGACTTTGAAACAAGAAGTTGCCATTTTATCTACATACTAGGTTTTTGTATCTCAGTTTGTCTATCATTTGAATGTGCAAAACTGTACACCTGAAACTATGATGTCTTTCAAGGTAACTCATGTATTTTGAAGTCCTACATATTTCTTATATCTTGTATTTATGTGTTTTGGTGTTAAAGACATACTACATGAGAAGAACTTGTTAGTTTGCATGAATCTCGAAGCCCTCCCTGGTAGTTAATCCTAATGTAACATCCCAAAATTCTAAATTTTGGAATGTTATATTAAATAAATAAATATGGTTGTTATTTGTTTGCTTTGTGACTGCTTGTCTGAAATTGAGTGAAATTTGAAACTTTTTGAAAGTTGAATGAGAGGGAATAAACGGGCTTTCCCAAACTTTCATACTTGCATTTTGATCTCCATGAATTCAAATTCATTTCATCACAAAATCCTAGAGTGAAGATGATATGACTTCTTCCACTTAAAGAAATGAAAAGGGGTTTGAAAATTATTTAGATTTAATTTGAAATATTTTCAAACCAGAGACTTCAAGTGTGACGCCCCGACTTAATCATATATGCAAAATGCGCACGATTAAGATCAGCGACTCATGGGAAGATATCACAACACAACTCTAGACATAAATAAAATAATACTACAAACTTTATGTTACAAGCCAGGGTCCTCGAGGGCTCGAATACATAATCTCGAATACACAAGAGCCAGCGAAAACAACAATATCTGAGTACAGACATAAGGTAAATAAGTCTGGCTTAAGAAGGCTAGCTCAAACAACAACAACAACAACAACAACAACAACGATCGAAAAGGCAAGGCCTCCTGCCTGGGAGCCTCCTAACTACTCCTGGTCGTCGTCGGTCTCCACGTGGTAGTAAGCTCCGTCGGGGTAGTAGTAGTCGTCGGTGGTGGCATCTGCCTCCTGGGATCCGTCATCTAATCGCAGCAATCGGGTATAGGGGAAAATAGGTAGCAAAGCAACCATGAATACTCATCCAAATTACTCGCAAGACTTACATCAGATCTATTCTAATTATGCATCGGTATCAAAGGAAGGAGTCGGATCCTCTAACATTATGAAGAGAAGTCAGAGGTGACATCCCTTCATGGAAACGGACACAACCACCTCTTCTCATGCACGTGACCACTCTTTCCCTTTCATCTCTTTTGGAGGGAAAAGTCCCTCAGCTTGGCGCCAAAACATCCACACCTGTGAGTTGTTTCCCTCCACTTTACCCACCACTGCTTGTACTGCACCTCACTTTGTCTATTTTCCTCTTCTCTTTTGGAGTATCTGCCACTCCCAGCACATCAACGCTGCTTTTTCCCTCTTCTCTTTTGGAGCATCAGCACATCAAAAATGCTCTTTTCCTCTTCTCTTTTGGAGCATCAGCACAACAAGCACCTGGCCTGATCAAATACAACATCCAAAGCAGAATTTAGAGGCTGATCATGGAGAATCAAGATCCAAACAAGATTGTTTTGCTTTTTATGGATCTTTTCAATAGGAGTTGCACATGTTAAATCAGTTCTGGCGAGTTCATCGCGGCGGCGCGGCCAAGGACTGGGCAGTGCCAGTGCCAGCGGAGTCGGGAGAGTTTCTTTTCTTTTTTTTTCAGCGTCGCTAGCAGCCGTTTTCATGAAGGGATGTCAAGCCCCGACTTCTCTTCGTAACATTAGAGGATCCGGCTCCTCAAAGGAATGGGGTTATATCTTTGGACTGAACTATAGAAATGCCAGAAAAGAGGGAAAACCTAGCCTATCGAAGACTAAAATCTGGAAGCATCTTGCGGCATTAGAAGAGTGCAAATTAGCATAATATAAAGTAACAAGTATGTTGTAGTAACGCCCAGAGATCCTTCCTTGGCTCCTTGCGAGAAAGCAATCCCGGAGCCATCATATCCATTTCACATCTCCAGTTCTAGTTGTATCGATCGGGACACAACTCCGAGCGTCCGTTACCATGGACATGGCTATTTGAATAGATTAACTTCTTTGAAGGGGCGCACAAACTTACCCAACATTCTAGATTAACTCCGGTGGGGCACACCATCAGATCATACCCGGCCTCGGCTGATCGACACACCGTAGTCCTACCTAGGATCAACAAAGAGGCCAGCACGCCGATCTACATCCTAAGCGCTCAGGGGTATTGGGCCCATCACTCTTTGCACTCCTGCATGTTGCGTGGACGGCCGTGATCATTCCCGGCTACCTTTTTATACAAGGCAGGTGCTTCCGCGGACCACCCGGGCGCGTGCTGCTCAATCACTGATGCTAGTGAGCTTTTGGAAGAAATGTACGATGCAGAGTGCCTATACTTATTCCTGCGTGGTGGTCAGTGCGAAAAGGCCGGAGGCCTACTCGGATCACATATCCAAACCGTTAGTTTCTTGGGAGCGCACGGTAATGATAATTGATCCACGATATGTTGTCTCGCCACCCCGTCTCACGAGCTTACGGCAAGGGCTAAGAATGCCCGGTCGTGTCGCGTAGATATCTTACGGGTACCCTCCAGGTCAACCCAACTTCACATAACTTGACATTTCTCTCGCGGGTACCCCTCGGGGCCGACCCGACTTCAACATGGTTCTGCGGGTAAAGTCAAAGTAACCGTGTGTCCATAACACCAAGGGGGGATCCGAGGAATAACCCTCGAAGGATTCCACTTGATGTAACCGTCAAGGTGAACTTGGAGGAATCACCCGCGATGGTTGACTCTTGATGTGTTGCACCACAGAGTCGTTATCAGGAGTGGTTAAGGAGGAATCACCTTCCATAGACCACGACCGATTAACTACACTACAGAGATCTCATCGGAAGTGTGATACAAGGTATCACCCTGGGCACTCGATAGTAACCATACAGTGGCATACAACTAAGGAGGTGTGAGGTGATGTGTCGAGTCGTGGACATCGATCACGTTGATCAAGTCATCGATCATAAAAGCAGGGGCAATAGGGACAAGGTGAGGGGTCACTGGTGGATATCTAAGAGCATCTCTAGCAGACCCCGCATCCGGCCAGCTCGCAAAATGCGTTTGCAGTGAAAACGGCCTTTGCGGGCTTGCTCGGACGGCCGCAGATGCAGACGCCCCAAACGGACCCGTGTAAAAGGATATTCGTGGAATATCCTTTTTACGGGTCGGCTTTTTGCGGGGTCCGCTCGGGCACCGCCGCGTCGACCGGCAAACTGAAAACGTCCCATTCTTGAATTTGACATAGGTTCTCACAAATAAGTTCAAATTCAAACAACATAACACCGAATGCGTGCAAATAAAAGCTTCAGTTTAGTAGGACAAACACAAAAGAGGGTCTTGCAAAACTGAGGACCACGTCCAGCATCATCTTGGTCGATCTTCACTCCGCGCCATCGAGTCCATCCCGAAGTTCATCGCCATCACTGAATCCACCTCCGGCGCTTGTTTCAACTCCCGCACCGAAATCATCGACATTGCCATCATATGGAGCAGAGAAAACATCTCCGGCACTATAACACGCACTGGCCGACGCAACCATTCTCCTCTTCAAGATTTCTGTCCTTGCCATATCATGCCATTCTTTGGTTAGGTCGTCCATGTCATTGTGGTTAATTATCATGATCTTGTTCTCTTCGGCGAGCAACTTGGACATGGCTTTGTTTTGAGCGGCATGTGCTCCTCTCTCTCCTTAATGGCAGCTTTGCGCAGCCCCTCTTCCTTGAGCAATTGCCACTTTTCTTGCTTCTCCTTTGCCTTCTTCTCGGCCAACTCTTTCTTGATCTCCAACGACTTCAACAACATCAACTCATTTGATTGCACCATGGCATCAATCTTCTCCCTCAAGCTCGATGCTTCGTGCTCTCTGTTCATCTTCTCCTTACTCTTCTTGTCGCCATCGGGCTTGTTCAAATTTCTTGGGCCATCATCATCCTCATCTTCATCCATGTTTGTAAGTGAACCTCTCTTCAATGGGGATTCTTTGTCGATCAACTTCCACTTCTCGCACTTTTTGAGCAAGTCCCAACAATGCTCTAGTTTGAAGAATTTGCCTTCCAAAGCTTCCATGTCTTTGTATCTATGTTGGGCAATTTTGTCCTACACAATTTGAACAAAGTGAAATGATGCAATCATTTCATATGATGCAATATGATGATGCACACCTTGAACAAAGGCAAAACAAACTCACATAATCGGATTCCACGGTTCCACTTGGAGGTGCATTGCGTACTTGCTCGAAGCAAGCTGCCCAACGGCCACACATAGGCTTGATCACATCCCAACTCCCTTGAAGCGACCGAAATATGCGTGGAGTCCTATTGGGGTACTTTGCCATCATGCGAAAGTATTGATCTTCGATCCTTTGCCAATACCTCTTGGCGGTTTGAGAAGTACCCGTGCATGCATCAAGAGATACCGCACTCCATGCATTGATCAGAATTTGATCTTCTAAGATCGTGTAGTTCTTCGATCTCTGGCTTTTCCCATTTTTTGTTTGCGATTGCTCATACGCTACATCATCGATCTCCTCCAATTCTTCCTCACCACCATGATCATCCACGATACCCTCCGTTTCATTGTAGTCGAATGCGGCGAACGGGGCTTGATCGATGTCAACGGCGTTGGTGTCCAACAAGTTCA